ATATTTGAAGAGATAATGGCTAAAAAATTTCTGAACTAATGAAAGATGCACAAATTGCAGTGAATCACAAGAAATCCACACCTAAGCCCTGGCTGGGTAGCTCAGTTGGTTAGAGCATCATCCCAGTACACCAAGCATGTCAAACTCACAGCCCACGGGTTGCATGCAATCCAGCCAATATAACAGTATGTAAGAAACATTGTAATAAAATTTTTTAACTTAGTTTTTACAATATCCTGTTATACATAATTATTAATAACAAACTACGACGTTCGCTTATGACTGGTTACTGTAATCGTGTTGTATTCATTTCCCTTACGCGCAAGCACACCATTTCTCTCCACTAATACTAGCAGCTAATATTTTAGCAGCAGATTGCCACTTCATTAGTCTTGGACTGACTTGTTTGGTGTGCGCAACAGGCAATATTTCACTTTTGGAAAACAAGAAAAATAGGTTTATTTGTGTTACGCTTATTAATTTGTGCAGTTATTCAGGATCTGGTAAGTTAATGTTCAAGAAAAAAATATTAAAATGTTCTGTTATTTTCTGTTAACGATTTTTATTTCAGCCCTTTGTATTCAGCATGTCTCTATCGAAATAAACATATGTTGCTATGAAAATTGAAGTTTTTGTTTTTTTGCAGCCCACAGAAACTTAAACCTTGTTTATTTGGCTTGTATTAGTCTTTGCGTTTGACATGCTTGCAGTACACTACGGTTTTAAGGTTTTACCTCTAGTCAGGGCACATACAAGAAGCAACCAGTAAATAAGTGGAACAACAAATCTCTCTCTCCCCCTCCCTTCCCTTTCTCTCGCAAATCAATTTTTAAAAAAAGAAATCCACACCTAGACACACCATACTGAAACTTCAGAATACAAATGACAAGGATGTTAAAAGCAGCTAGAGTGCAAAGAAGGCTTACCAAAGGACTCCCGATTGTTTGACAGCACACACTCAGCACCAACAGGGGATCACAGTACATTGCAATGTGGCCACTGGTGAAAGACAATAATTACCAAATCAAAAGTATGTTTTAAGCAAAAATACCTTTCAAGAATGAGGATGAAATAAAGACATTTTTCAACACATAGAACCCCAAACAATTGGTCTCTAGTACACCTTCACAAAGGGGAAGATTCTAAAGAATATGTTTCCAACAGAAGAAGGTGATACCAGAAAAAGGTCTGAGAGACCAGAAAGAATTATGAGCCAAGAGTGTGTAAAAATATGGGCAAATACAAAAATAACCAATAAAATGATGATAATTTTCTTATGAGGTTTAAAAGGCGGTGTATTTGTGTGTGTGTGGCGGGGGACGGGAGTCAGGGGGCAGAGAGAAGTGGAGGGAGATAAAGATATTCAACACCAGTATCATGTAAATCAGTGTTTCCCAAAGTGTGGTACGCGTACTTCCAGGGGTACGGGAAGAGTTTGGTGGGGGTACGCGTTGCACGGAGTTTGGTGGGGATATGCACTGCACCGTGCTTAGCTGCGCCTAATTCTACGTTCTCATGAGGACAAGGGGTACTCAGCATTACGAAAATTACAGAAGGGGTACACATATGTCAAAAGTTTGGGAAACACTGAAAATCAAGGGGAAAGGTATGAGCAGAGATAAAGTAGTCTAACTTTTAAAGTTGTCTAACTTGATTTTATACAGTGAGGAGGTTAAAGATATTAATTTCAGCTTTACATAATCAATATATACAAATGCAGAAAGAATCAAGTAACTACTAAAAGAATAGGAATATAAAACTTCCAAAATAGTACAGAGAAATTGGATGAGGAAAAAAGAAATCCGTAAGGAGGGAAAGGAAACACAGAAACAATGGAACTAATAGCTTAGTAATTATAAACATGTGAGTGGACTAAATGTTTCAGGTAGTCAGAGACTGACCCCAAACCGGTTTGCCTCAGGCAATAGAGAGTAGGCCTGCAGACCAAAGGGTCCCAGGTTCGGTTCTGGTCAAGGGCACATACCTTGGTTGCAGGCTCCTTCCTGGCCCAGTCCCTGTCAGAGCATGTGCAGGAGGCAACCAATCGATGTGTTTCTCCACACTGATGTGTCTTTCTGTCTTTCCCTCTCTCTTCCACTCTCCCTAAAAATAAATGGAAAAATAACCTCGAGTGAAGGTTAATAAAAAAATAAAAAAGAAAGAAAAAGAAAAAAAAGCTGACACTCTATGCACTGAGTCCAACCAGGCAGGGCAGTCTTAATATTTTTTTAAAACCATTTTCTAAAAAGATCACTTGTTAAGTGTGTATATCTAAATGCAGTCTAGTTTTTATCTCTGAGTAGGACTTTACTTATAAATTTAAAAATAATAAAACAACCTTTAATAAAAAATATATATATAGCCGAAACCGGTTTGGCTCAATGGATAGAGCGTCGGCTTGGGGACTGAAAGGTCCCGGGTTCGATTCCGGTCAAGGGCATGTACCTTGGTCGCAGGCATATCCCCAGTAGGGGGTGTGCAAGAGGCAGCTGACCGATGACTCTCTCTCAATGATGTTTCTAACTCTCTATCTCTCTCCCTTCCTCTCTGTACAAAATCAATAAAATATATTTTTAAAAAATATTTTAAAAGATTGTAGGGAAACGGGTTATAAACAACCATCAAGAAAGTGAAATGGTAACTCACAGAATGGGAGAGAGGATTTGTAAATCGTGTATATGATAAAGTTCTTATAGCTAGACTATATAAGGAAGTTCTATAACTCAATAGCAAAAAAAGACAACTCAGTTTTTTTTAGTTGGGCCAAGGATCTGAACAGATTCCCCCAAAGAAGATCTACAATGCCAATAAGCATATGAAAAGATTCTGAACATCATTAGCCACAGGAGAGAAATGCAAACCAAGACTACACAGGATACACTTCACACCCACCAGCATGGCTAAAACAAAAAGACTAGAAAGGACTGGTGAGGATGTGGAGAAGCTGGAGCCTTCATACACTGCTGATGGGCCTGTACAGTGGTGCAGCTACTTTGGAAAACAGTTTGGCAGTTTCTCACCATCAAACTCAGAGTTGCTTTACAACCCAGCAATTCCACTCTTATGTATATGTACCCAACAAAAATGAAAACGTATGTCTTGTCAAAAATTTGTACATGAGTGTTTATAGCAGCTTTATTAATAATAGCCAAATGCCCATCAGCTGATGGGTGAATAAATAAAATGCCATGTGTACATACCATGGAATATTATTCAGCCATAAAAAAAGGAATGGTGTAGGATACATGCTACAACGTGGATGACCCTTGGAAACATTGGTAAGTGAAAGAAGCCAGATGCAAAGAACCGCATACTGTATGATTCCACTTTATATGAAATGTCCAAAATGGGCCAATCTACAGGGACAGAAAGTAGATTAGTGATTGTCTGGGGCTGGGGATGAGATGCATAGGCTGAGGGCTAAGAGGTATAAAGCTTCATTTTCTTTCAATTAATATGTTTGAGAATTGCTATGATGATGATGCACAACTCTCAATGGATATATTAAAAGCCACTGAATTTTACACATTAAATGGTGAATTCTATGTTAAGTGAATTATACCTCAAGTTGTTTTTTGTTTTTGTTTTTTTTGTTTCTTTGTTTGTTCGTTTGTTTCAATATTTATTGACTTTTTACAGAGAGGAAGAGAAGAGGGATAGAGAGCTAGAAACATCAATGAGAGAGAAACATCAACCAGCTGCCTCTTGCACACCCACTACTGGGGATATATGCCCACAACCAAGGTACATGCCCTTGACCGGAATCGAACCTGGGACCTTTCTGTCTGCAGACCGACGCTCTATCCATTGAGCCAAACCGGTTTCAGCTGTTTTTTTTTTTGTTTTGTTTTGGTTTTTTTAATCAAAAAACACCTCAGTAGAAAAATAAGCAAAAGGTGGTGACAGGAACAGGGCTTCCAGCAGAGGAGGGCAGGGCAGAGGAAGGGGGTGACAGTGGGAGGGGCCAAGACCCACCCATGTGCCCACCGTAGCCTCTCGGCCCACAGTTCCTTTCAAGGTGCATAAATTATGCACTTGGCCCTCAGTTAGAAAATAATACATTATTTTGAAAGAGTTAAAGATTCAAGTACTTATATGACCTGGCAATTCTTCTCCTAAGTACCTTCCTAAAGGCATTCTTCAGTTGTGTGCTGAGATGACATTAAGAAGAGTCACAGCAGCAATATAAAATTCAAAACCACATAAAGCAAAGCAATGGGATATTTAGGGATATAAGTATATATAGTAAATAAACCTGTTTTTAAAAAGCAGACGAGGGCATGAAAACACAAAATCCAAGATGGTGGGAATGGGAAGGAACTGGGGGAAGGTGATGTTTCTCAAACTGGGTGGTGGGGTGGAGTGTTTGGTGGGGAAGGGGCCAGGGGTGCGGGGCAAAGCGGTACCTGACAGCCCAACATAGAGGGGAGATTGGACAAACTCAGCAAGGTTTTTCCGTGCATTTCAATATTGAATGCTAATAATGCTGGCCGGGAGTTTTTATTTTTATTTTTTAATTTTTTTTTAATATATTTTATTGATTTTTACAGAGAGGAAAGGAGAGAGACAGAGAGCTAGAAGCGTCGATGAGAGAAAAACATCGACCAGCTGCCTCTTGCACACCCCCACCGGGGATGTGCCCGCAACCAAGGTACATGCCCTTGACCAGAATCGAACCCAGGACCCTTCAGTCCGCAGACCAATGCTCTACCACTGAGCCAAACCAGTTTCGGCTGGCCGGGAGTTTTTAGAAAAGCTTAACATATTTAGCATCTTCTATTTAAGAAGCAAGCCGGTGATACTCAGGGAAAATAGAAGGAAAGGGACTTCACAAAGCAGCAGCAGAACAGGAGTGTTTTAGAAAGGTTTCCAATGAAAGTTCAAGTGAAAAGTTTCCTACTGCATTTACTGTGGGCCCTCACTTCTTTATTCCGTGGTGATACTAATTAAACCAGCCATGGCCCTCTGCGGTCACTCAGCGGTTCATTTTCTCTCTTCAGATCCTGCTCCCTCTAAGAGATGAGCCACGAGAGCGTGCGGAGGAAGGACCTGCCCACTGCTCCTCTGCCCCTGGTGCAGCTGGGGTCCATAGTATTTTTTTTGCTGCCTCAGTCCCCAAGGCCTTCCAGCAGAAGTGGCAGTAGTGGGTTGCCAACCAGCCAATCCAGCCTTTCCCTGAGAGGACAGGAAAACACATCAGCTGGATTCATGGAACTTGGCAGAGGGGGCCTTCAGCGGATGCGTGATCTACCCCGTCAGAGCACACGTGTATCTTCCCCCCCCTTCCCCCTCCCCCCACCTGCTTAGGTATCTCTGTCCCTCTCCTGCTGCCACACACAGATGATATAAAAGAGGCTCTTTGGCTATTTGCATTGCGCTTCCTCTTCTTTTCCAGATTGCAGTATTAACTTTACTCCCCACAACACTGTCCACCAGCGTTGCCCTTCCCTTTTGGGGGGGGGGGGGGGGGAGGGGAGGGGAGGGGAGCTTCCGGCACGGGTTTCCCGGAGAGGAGGAAAGTCAGGGTGCCGCTGACCACACGGGCCACGGCAAAGGCACCCTTTGGCATTGCTGATTTCTAAAATTAATAAAGTAATTCTATTTTTATTTTCTTTTTTTTTCCATTGACTAATTTCCCATCCATCAGGATTCACCAACGAGACTAAAATGGTGGGATCACCTTCTCATTTTGTGTCATTGCTGGGAAAATTTTAAACCTTCATTTTTGGAAATGTGGGCGATAAAGAGGTGGTTTATTCTTATTCTTGGTTTCAGCAGGCGGTGGGTCCAGGCTACTCCTGCCCCTGGGAGGCTGGTCTGTGCCAATGTCTCCGTGATCAGACCAGGACACACAGGTCCTCCCCTGGCATGCGAGCCAGACAACCCGTTTACAGCGACGCAGGCCTGGTGGCCTCCTACCCACCTGTCCTCTGCACTTTCACTCCCTCATCTCTGCAGGTCTTCTCTCTGGCTTCTGCTGGAGAAAAGGTGGCAGGCCCACCAAAGGATTGACTCAGCTGCCTGGGGAGGTATTGAGTGAGAACCCAGTGCCTGGGGCATCTCCAACAATGTGCTGTAGACTCAGCATTGAAACCCCAAAAGAAAAGGACACCCAAAGAAGCAGAGAGGAAAGGAACATTTGGTGCCTTTCACAATGAATGGGAACCAAGGTTTGGACACACTGAATGAAGCCCTTTGCCTGCCTGTAAAGAATGCGGTCTGTCAGTTGCAAGAGAAAAGAGAGACTGTTCCAGATGTTCCTGGGACTTCCGGTTGGTACAGTGTCTGAGGGCCACCTTAGCTGTTTGCTGATTGGTTGTCAGTGGTTTGGAGACAAAAGAGAATGCCTAATTAGTCCCCTGCTGGCGCTTAGAATTGGGAAATCAGGTGTTTGGGAGACTCGCCATATGGGTCTTGTGAGAAAGGACAAGAGGGTGTGGGCTCAGTAAAAGCTTTTGGAACCATGAGAGTGTTTGGAATTGCCCTCGGTGACTAATCAGAATTGAATCTCCAGCTGATTTCTTCCTGCACTCACAGTGCTGATCACTTAAGGAACAGACTCCCTTCAGTTAGGCAGGTGAACTCAAGCCATTTTTACTGGTTCTAGACCTCTCTTGGTTCAAAGTCCGAGGGCCACCTTAGCTGTTTGCTAACTTGGTTGTGAATTGAGTTGGGAGACAAATTAGATAGAAATCCTTCATAGTCCCCTGCTGGCGTTGGGAAGGCAGGTGTCGTAGTAGACCAGACAGATCACAAGATCCCCTCCCACAGCAGTGTTATTTCCAGGGCCCCTCCTCCCCGTCCTCCAGAACAAGCGTATATTTTGCAGATGGACAGACAATGGCTCAGAACTCTGTAGTGCCCGTAAGTGATGTGCACCGGGGAGGGTGGATGCCAGGCCCCTGCCCGTATTTGTATCTGCTGATTACGTCAGAGCAGAGCTCCAACAGAAAAGGAACATTGGAATCCCAGTGTGTGCTGCTTTCTTTGGAATACTTCAGGAAACACATCACATTGCCTTGGTGCATTAGGATGAACCACAGCCCAATGTTTTAGTGATGTCCTGTGGGGTTGGATAATAAGGAAAGTTTATTGTAGGACCGCAGAGATTATTTCCCTCTTATGTAAGCCTCAGGTAAGGACCGACGATGTCAGATATAACACACTGTGTCTCAAAATGTAGTTTTAGGCAGCATGGACCCTGCCCCAGGCCTAAAGACATCCCTGGAGTTGCAGCCTGGAATTGTATGGTTTAAATAAACACGGGTCATTCTCACACCCACTGAAGTCTGAGAATGACAGCCACGGGTGAGTAGACTGAAAGTTGGGATAGCAATGGCTACAGCCAAAGGGCTGGGTGTGTTACACCCCTTCTAGCTCCACTGGCTCCCGTGGGTAAGGAACACAGTCCACCTGCCAGAATTGTATCAGTCTACCTGCCATGTTTATAGGGCGGGGGTGGGGGGGGCGGGGCTGAGTATCTGAGTACAGTGGGAGTAAATGATGCCACATGGAATGAAGGCTGGGAGAGAAGCACTTGGCATTGCTGGGCACGGACAACGCAGGAAAAGGTCCAGCTGTGCAAACTCAGGAGCTCAAAATGGGAGATCTCCAGAAGGAGCAAGATGCACACCCACCAGCATCCTCCACATCCTTCGACCTGAGAAATTTAGCCTAGGCTAGACTGATTTCACCAGAGGCAAAGCGATTTCCACAGAGGAGCGTGTGCCTCACCCTGCACAAGGCTGCTTCAGGTGGACATCGGTGGCAGGACGGACTCTGTGCAGCCCGGGCTCTGTGACCCACGGAGAGCTCCTGAGTTGCGCTTTTTCGGTCCCCTCCCATCCCCGAGCCCCTGGCAAGAGGCCCCTGGTCTGAGAAGGGGCCCCTGCTGGGCTCTGCCTAGGCTTCCTCTGATGGCAGAAGTGGCCGCTTATTCTCAGGCAATTTGCCACAGGCAGTGTCTCTAACTCTCCATTGATTTGGATGTTGAGATGAGATTTTCAAAATGGATGATGTTGGCCACTTACAGTGAATGTACAAATGAACGCATTTCCATATGCAAGCCCATCCCAAGTGCTTTTGCCCACAGTTAAACGGAGGTCAAATTCATACAGTGTAATGTCTGCAAGTCTGAGCCACTTCCTCTGGGTGTCTGAGAATGTTACGCACTGAAGAAAGCGGAACACAAGAGTGCGGTCTCTCAGACGGGGGAAGGCGGCTTCATGAGCCACGTACAGGCTGATCACACTAAGCCCGTGGTCGGCAAACTCATTAGTCAACAGCCAAATGTCGATAGTACGATTGAACTATCGACTCAGACTTACACTTTAGAATAAGGCTTTTACTGTCCTAAAAACAATCTTCCAGAAGAGGAAACGATCCAAGGTTCCCCAAAATTTTTTTATTTATACAAAGATTTCGAGATTAATATTTGTATTTGTCTTTATACCTCAGTCTACGCGTCTGGGCCGAGTCATTGCGTGGCACACGAGTGAGCTACCCGCGTGCCCCACACATAGCACCTGCTTCCAGGAACACCAGGTGAACACGGCCCAGGGCAGGGGGAAGCCCATAATGCCCCCAGGGCTGCACGCACCCCCATCTCGGATGTGTACCCTGACCTGGAAGGTGTCTAGCCAAATGTCCCAGGGGAAATGCCACCAGAGAAGAAGCTGAGAGGAGGGACCCAGAGGGCAGACAGGAGCAGGGTCGCTTTGCACCTTCTGCTTCTGAGTTCAATGTCCCCCTAGGGCCCCGTGGAGCTGAGGGCCGGGATCTGCATTACCGGGCCGCTTTCCCTGCAATGCCCCTTGATGCTGATGGGTGTCCAGAGGACAGTTTGCAAAATTAACAGATTTCATTCTTCATCCCAGGTCATATGAGAGACAACACTGGGGACCATGTTTTGGTAACCTGTCGGAAGTGAAATGCTTGCCATGCATAACGTGATCCAGATTCCCTAGAGCCGACGTGGGGCAGCAATGAGCAAATCTGACCTCGATCAGACATGTCTTCCGGCCTGGCCCTGTCCCGGCCACACTCTGCCTCTTCTCCTCCCCGTCTCCCCAACCCCATTGCCACACCACTGTCCGCTCGCCATCCCTCTTCCACCGTCCCACCACCTGTCCACGTCCCAGAAACATCTGTGTGTTCTGAAGAGTTCGGCCTTCCCCTAACCAGACCCACACTTTCTTTGCCACAGTGATTCTCAGAGCCAACAAGAAAGGAACGCTCCAGAAGGGAGCCTCCGTCTCGGCCATTTGCCCGACGCTGCAGCTTGTGGGCTCTAGGCTTCCAGGTGAGGTCTGTTGCTTTTGTGTTTCCCGAGGAGCAGGCAGGCCGGCTGTGGCAGTTCTCTCTCTGCTCCCCGGGCTGCGGGCGGGGCCTCAGCTGCACTTACAGGACTTCACCACCATGTTAGAGAAACTTTGCACCTTGGAGTTATTCCCGATATAGTACAGGATGGTCAGGGGCTCCAAGTCATGGGGCACACAGCAAGGCGATGCAGAGGCTTCGGGGTTCAAGAAGGTGTACACACCCAGCACCTGGGGAGGAGACATCACTTAGAAGCTGGAAAGCAAGGCCTCAGGCCTGAGACCCTCCACGCCATCTGGGGCTGCTCCAGAGACCGAGCACGTGGTCAACACCACGGACATGCGTCCAGTTGGCGTGAGTGACCAGTCCCGTTCATCCACGGAGCAGGAATGGAGAGCATCTGCACCTGCTCGTTAACAGTTTGACACATTAACAGCTATGGGGGACTTGACATTGGTCGTGGAATCCTCTCTCTCTGTGAAGAAAACACTCCTATATTGGTCTTCCCAGTTCTAATTGGCCACTTTGGTGAGAAATAGACTTCACAAAACCTTGCCATTTGGTAATTGCCAGACTAGATGTAGTGACAATGAGCTGTAAGGAAAGTGCCTTGTGAATTTCTGCCCTGGTTTTATTCCCCTAACCCCACCCACCAGGGAAAAATAAGCTGGTTTCAGGGTCCTGGACTCCCCTCCCCCTCTCCCCTTTTCTTCCTGTTGTTTCAGTTAGCTGCTTCTGCATGCTTTACCTCATCTTCCTAAGTAACTTTTCTACAGTCAGGAGGCTGGAATTACCAGAGTTCTTCAGGTGGTGGCGGAAGCCATTCTGCCCACATCACCTGCCAGCCAGGCGCACACATCTCTGACATACAGGGTGGCATGGAGCAAATTCATTCCAGAACAATAGAAACGCTTTAGACAGAGAAGATGAAAAGCCAGGCCAAAACTATGTAAGTAATTATGAAGGGGAGAATGTGCCTGAGTAGAGTTGAGCCAGAGTGCCAAGATCAAAACCTTCAGGGAAGGGATTTGACTCGCTCCAGCTCATCGTTCCCTCACTTGGCATTCAGTCCTTCATGCATCAATTTCAAACAGGTGCCTGGTCCACTCAGCCCTGGCGCTCCCTGGGGCCTGAGCCCCCTCCATACGTACCTTGCTGTGGTTTGCGTCGGCCATGTGGAAGTGGGGGCAAGGGCCTGAGCAGAAGTTGGCGTCGTAGCCCTTGGGTTCCTGGATCCATTTCCAGCCCAGATCCTGGTGGAAGTCGATGTAGAGAGGGCGCACACAGCAGTTCTCTTCCACATTGCTGCAACACAAAACACATTACAGAAACCCGACCTAAAAGCAAGCCACTGACATGAACAACTTCACAAGCAGCCCTCATCTTTCCACTTGGAGTCCCTCCTGGTCATCCTAAGACGGGGTCTAATCGATGGAACCTGGGATTCAAGTGCAAGGAGCCTTATAGACTTTAACAGAGTTTTCTGTTAAAGACCCTGGTCCCAGGGACATACCGAGCAGATATAGATGATAAATAAGAGCAAAAAGACAGAGGGGGCCCTGCTCCTTTTTACTTTATGAATCAAAGCAGAGACATAAATCGCTCCACAGAAAACCAAGCACTGAATGTTATCAGCCAACTCAGCTCAGTGGAGGTTGATTTGATTACCTTCCTACTGTGCACCCAGCCAGAAATGACCTTTAAGCTCACTCAGTTTATGTACTGTGGGAGAAGACTGCTTAGATTACATCTCAAGGCCATTGAATCAAAATGAGGCATGTCCTTCTATGATCAGACTCACGATTCCTACCCCCTCACCCCCCAATGTGATCATCAGGACATATCAGTTCTGCTGCCTGCAGAAGCCCATTGGGCAGTACCCTTGGCAGGTGGGAGCTAGTCTTACTTCAGTATCTGCTGAGACCTAGGACTTGCTGTTTCCAAGGCCAAAACCTGGCTTCTTGTGGGTTCTGAGGGTGGCAGACATTCTTTATTATCTTTTCATTCCTAACCCCCTTCTCTTGCTGCTTCCCATGACAGAGTCTAGAACACCAGATACTTGTTTTCCTGGCCTCCCTTGCAGATGGGGGTGGTCATGTAACAGCAATGACCAGACATAAGGAGAAGCATGCAGGGGATGAGGGCCAATTCTGGCAAAATATATATATATATATTTGATTCCATATAAAAGTTGCAGATAGAAGAGGAACACTACTAGCTCTGCCTCTTCTCTTTTCTTGTCGTCAGCACACACAAGCTACCTGGAGCTCCAGCAGACACTGTGACCATGAGCAAGAGCATGAAAAGCAAGGCACCATGTTAAGCGTGGCAGACTGAAGAGAGAAGGAAAGCCTGTGTCCCCGGTGGCATAATTAAGCATCCAGATCAACCCTGAGCCTGCTGCTGCCAGCCTCTTATGAACAAGAAATCCCTGCAGCCAAGAGCATCCATTCCTAACTGATTACGCGCCACACAGGACTAATCTACACACCAGCCTTCAGACAGTTGGAGGCAACCACATGCCTCTCTTACCCCTTCTGTTCCCCAAGCTCAGCATCCCTCATTCATTCGACTGCTCCTAACAAGACATGGTTTTAGAGCTAAAAACTTCCCGAGTCATTCCCCCCCCCGCACCCCCCCCCCCCCCCCGCTCTATCCAGGCACCCTCCCCTCCAGCCAGACTGACCCACTCATGCCCCTTCCTTTACTGGAAGTGCCTCCTCCTCCCATGGCCCCACCCACGCTCACTGGTCCTCCAAGGCTGGGATTCCACACCCTCTGAAACCTCCCCTGCATCCGCAGATGAGCTCCAAATTCATGAAGCACGTACCCTTCGGACCTTCTCATGAATGTGGTCATTTCTACCTTTTACTAACCGCTGTGCATGCTCCAGCAGCCCTTCGTTATAAACAAGAAGTTAAATGACTCCTAAATAAGAAAAGAGGCTCTGTGTAACCTCTTCACTAAGGCTACTAACAACGTCTGAATTAGTTCATTAATTTCTCGAGCTCAGATTGCCTGACACAAATGGAGCTGTCCAGTTTCCCCTTATCCCATATCATCCTTGGACCCTTCACAGGGAACTGAGCACTTCCCTCATGGGAATTCCTGCAAGCATTGCCCAGAGGCAAACACACCCTGCACGTACTCTGAAACAGGAGAACTGCCTGGCCAGTGTAGTTCAGTGGCTGAGCACTGACCTCTGAGCCAGGAGGTCACACTTTGATTCCTGGCCAGGGCACATGCCCAGATTGGGGGCTAGATCCCCAGTGTGGGGCATGAAGGAGCCAGCCAATCAATGATTCTTTCTCATCGTTGATGTTTCAGTCTCTCTCTTTGTCTCCCTTCCTCTTTGATATCAATAAAAAAAAATTAAAAACAAAAACTAAACATGAGAACTAAGGTGAGGCTCAGCCCACACTCTCCTGGCACTTCATCCTGGCCTCACAGAGCTGGGCTGCAGGAAACTGGGGGGCTCCCAGAGAGACAGAAAGGTTTGTAAATCTTCTTTCCTGAAGACATTTGTGAACAGCCTCAGGGGCCCTCCATTGAGCCAGGCCTGCCCACAGTAGGTGCCAGTCCAAGTGGCCTCAAGAGTTCATGGATCCTGAGCGGCCCAGGCTCACTTAAAGCAGTAATCGGTGTCCAGGGCCCGCTTCTTCCTCTGGCCGCCCTGGCCAGGGTTGTCCAGCCGGTGTGGGGGGATCATCATGAGGATGAGATGCGGGTTGTGCTGGTCCTTCTGCTTCCTGAGGCATCCCAGGTCTCCCCGGCCGTAATCGTCCTCACTGTCCACGCCTATAGGAGGGAAGGAAGGTGACACTCTCCTGTCTAAGAAAGGCAGAGTGGAGGCTGCCTTCTCACCCCATCCCATCCCATCCCATCCCATCCCATCCCTGCCCAGGAGGAGGGCAGTGTGGTCTGTGAGGAAGGAAAAGACTCAATGGGGGAACCGGTATCAGAGGAACCCACAAGACAGCCCTGGTCAGACCTCTCATGCCTCCTGTGTGTGTGTGTACATCTGAACAGACTATGGAGCCTTGAGGGAAGTCAGGGGAGAGTGGGTGGGAAGAGATCAACCAATAACTTAATTGCATATATGCATAACCCATGGACAAAGACAATGGGGTGGTGAGAGCTGGGGGTTCGGGGGGGCATGGGAATGGCTGGAAAAGGACAAGTGGGGGAAGGGGGTGGAGCACTGAGGGTGAGCAAGGTAATACTTCTAACAATAAAGACTTTTTTTTTAAGACGCAGTGAGCCTTTCCTGAAATGCTCCTGGACCTGTGAAACATCTGTCACTGAGCAGCTACCTCACATTTCTCTGGGCTGTTAGTTTAGATTCTGGGACTTGGACTCTTGTGGGTGTGAGTTCCCTCTTATGATCAGAATTGGTCAAGACACCCGGAAGTTCCTGCTGTAACTTAAGGTGTCACAATTGTAAGACATCTTGAAGAGAAGCCAGAGGAATAAGACTGAATAATCGTTCCCATTCAAATGTTTTCACTATAAAACTCAGAGGCGCTAACGGAGTGCACAATAATCAGCTTAGCAAGCAAACTCTGGGAAGAAAACCTATTTCACCTGAAAAGGTCAAGACTGAAGACTGGATTAGAAAGAGTCTCAGCTGAAAGGACATTACAGCTGCCAGCGATGGTCCATCTCCACACAGGACAGGACCCAGGGGGTTAATTTATATGTCGCTGGAGGGACTTGGACCTTACACAAGGGCACCTGGGCCCTGAGATGAATAAGAGGCCTGGGTTTCCAATTTCCTTCCCTGATGATCTTTTATGAACAAAACTGAAGTGGAAGGATTTTGTCCTGACCTGACCTGGTGGTACAGACTCCAAAGATCTGAGCTCTGAGGTTCTGTAATTAGGATGTCAAATGTTTGGCTTAAAAAATAAAAATAAAAACAGCTGAAACCTGTTTGGCTCAGTGGGTAGAGCATCGGCCTGCAGACTGAAGGGTCCCAGGTTCGATTCCAGTCAAGGGCATGTACCTTGGTTGCGGGCACATACCCAGTAGGGGGTGTGCAGGAGGCAGCTGATCGATGTTTCTCTCTGATCGAGGTTCCTAATTTTCTATCCCTCTCCCTTCCTCTCTGTAAAAAATCAATAAAATATATTTTTTAAATAATAAAAATAAAATAAAATAAAAAAGGCACTGAAACAGAGACCAGGCAGGGAGCCAACAGGCCAGCACCATTTTCCAGACAAGCCTCAGACCTCAGGCTTTGGTGTGGTTGCTTTGACCTTGATAAACCACCTGGCTTCAGGTGTGCCTGTTATCCAAAATGGGACAGGGAAGGAAAACCCAGTGCTGGTCTAGGTTGAGCACCTTAGAAACACACTGGAAAACCTGAAATGACTCTCAACTTTTTCACCATCTCATCACAAACACCCAGAGCCCTGAAGCCGTAATTCAAACCCAGGTGCCGCCGGGGCAAGGATCCAGTGGGCTCTGTAACACCCGCAGGCTCGGTAGTCAGGACCCCTCAATTCACAGCCACCAACGTCCACTGCTTTTAGGGAAGGGGAAGACAGCTATTATTTGTTGAGCATTCCTGACACTGGGTTATACACTTGTTATCTCATTTAATTTGCATAGCAACCCTGGGAAAGAGGTCCTCGCACCCCCATTTTACTGACCACAGAGCGATGGTGCCACTCGCCCACAAGATCTCACTTCTCTGACCAACCGAACAGTGTCTTCCAAATGCTAATGTGTGCTCTACATCTAGAAACTAACAGTCACACCCATTGCTTTGGGGCCAAGCATAATGACTTGAGTACAGGAGAGTGGCCATCTCTGCAAGGGAGCTTGGTCCCTCTGCCCGGGGTCTGGGAAGGGTCTCCTGTCCTGTGCACTCTGTTACCTTTGAACTTGATTTCCATCACCTCATGGATGTTTTCCAGGATGTCTCCATTGGGCTGACAGGTGTGACACGGGCAGTGAATGCTGATTCCCAGACCTAAGTTGGACTCTGCAAAATAAGACACAGAGTGGGTGAGAAAAGCACTTGGTGTGATCGAGATGTGTATGCCCCACCCATGCACCGGAGGGCCAGGGTCTCTGCTGCCACAGACAGAAGAGGGCTGTCCTGAGGGGCACAGGAGACAGAAAGTGATGCCAAAGCCAGCACAGACCTTCCCACTCATGCTGCCACACCCCATGGATTTCTGGAGGCGTAACTAGTGGGGATCAGAAAGGAAAATTTCAACATTCATCTATGTTTAAAAGATGGTATTAGGAAAAAATTGTCACATGCCTGCGTGGAAGCAAAAAAAATAAGGAGCACCCAGCCAGTGTGACTCAGTGGTTGAGTGTCGACCTATGAACCAGGAGGTCATGGTTCAATTCCCGGTCAGGGCACACGCCTGGGTTGTGGGCTCAATCCCCAGTAGGAGGTGTGCAGAAGGCAGCCGATCAATGATTCCCTCTCATCATTGATGTTTCTGTCTGTCTCTCTCTTTCTCTCTGAAATCAAAACATAAAAAAAAAGAGGAGCAGGACAGAAGATAAAAAAGTCACACCCTCTAAGACCAGTTCTGATGGGTATGACAATTAGAGTTTAGCTGCTTATTGAAAGAGGTGGTACTCGAGCCAAGGTTGAAGGGAAGAGGCAGAGGGGCTGGGAGAGGCCAAGGAAAGGGGAAACTTGAAGAACTCTGGGACTGAGAGGCAGTGATCCCAAAGGACCCAACGTAAAGGGCCACAAGATGGGAGGAAGGTGGTGGAGTCTGAGCTTAAATCAGGAGCATGCCCGAGCAAGGTCAGTGGCAAACAGGCGGCAGAATCAGTCTGAGTGGAAGCTGCCAGCATTTCTACCAGGGCTGGGATTGTTGCCATAAAGAGGTAGATCCCAGAGGAGATAAAATGAACATTACAGTTGGCTATATTTTCCTTAAGGAGCAAGGGCACAAGCAGATAAAGGTTCCTCGGAAGCTTCTTTGGGAATCCTCGTTCTGCTTCACTGGGAAGTCTGAAGTGGGATGGCTCACTGGGAGAAAGCAAACAGCTGGTGGAGACAGTTGTGAAATCGGGCCAGAAGAGCTGCAGAGGGCCATGGCCAACCGTCCAGATGGCAGGAGCTGGCGAGAACAAGCCCCAGGAATTGTGAGGTGCTGGGTTTGATGACTGATATTCTGGAGTAAGAGGGCCAGTTCTGGCCCTTTCTCCTAGGAGTTCTGGGATCAGGTGTTTTAATAACTAAAATTGGGGAAGCAAGGAGATGAGTACAAAAAGTTGAGTAAAGTGGAAGAAAAATAAGTGAAAAAAATTTAACTGAACCAGTAGTTTTGGGCAGGGATACCAGGCTGGGTTTGGTATCACATCAGTTCTGGTGGGTTTGACAATTAGAGACTCTCTTTTGATCCGGAAGCAGCCGTGGTCGGGAAGGGAAGGGAGGTGAAAGGAGTGGACTCTTGTTGGTTTAAGGCCACTGAAGGAAGGCGCTGGAGCAGCTGAAATGGGTTACATAAGACTTCTTGCTATCCCGAATCGTTAAGGTAGGCTGAGAGGGACCTGGAGCGGACAAGTTCTATGATTCTGTTAGTTGGAAAGTCAAGGTTCAGACAGATGTGCTGGGGAGAGTCAGGGTTAGGGTGCAGGTGTGAGATGATGGCTTGGCTGGACCGACCTGTGTCTAGGCAGGGAGCTCAGAGTGATGGCAATAATCACCAGCATCCCTGGACTCCCTGAGAGCATGCTTTGAGACCTCCATGCTGTGTTTGAATCTTTATAATAATCCTACAAAGTGGGAACTGTTGTTATCCTTGTTACACAGAGGACACGGAGGCCTAGGGAAATGTAATGCCTTGTCCAAGGTACTCAACCAGGAAGTGGTAGAGCCAAGATTCAAACCCAGGCAGCCTGATGCCAGAGCTACACTCCTGATTGTTAGAGACAGAGAGAGAGAAGAAGGCCAACACAGAGCACCAATGAGGATGCTCACACACTCACTGAGATGCAAAATGGTCCTGTGTTCCCAGTGTCCACCCTTCCAGGGCCCAGATGCTGGGCGTGCTCCCTGCCCCACTGCTGGGGAGGCCTGGCTCTGCACGTGGACGAAATGCAGGTGGGGTAGAGCAATAGCTCAGGGGACCCCAACCCTGGAGAAAGCCCCAGCCAGGTCTGGAACCCAGAAGGCAGCCTGGGAATCAGGCACATCGTAGGCTGTCCAATGTTTGGTAAATGAATGGAACAGCAGATAGATACGTGACTCAGTTTCCTCAGTAGTCCACACCCCCAACTGCTCCATTTGTTGCCTTGTTTGGGGCCACAGACTCGGAAGAGGCTCCTGAGCTCTACAGAAGGCAAGGTCTGTGCAGGGGGCGGGCAGCATCTGCCGAGAGGGAACGGAAGGTTCCACTGAAGAACTAAGCTCAGAATTGGCAGCGGTGGGGCTGGAGGGTGGGGGACCCATAGATTCTATTGCGAAATTATCTTTTTGATGTCTCCAGAAGGATGGAAATCATTCTCAATGCAAGCTGCTCATTGAGTTCTGCAGCTGTGAAAATAAGAACTCCTTCAGGGCGTCAGAGACATCCAGGTGGAGCTGATCAAAATCAGGCAGGGAAGCGCAGAGATTCATTTCCCTGGCCTCTCTCTGCAGCCACATCGGGCTCTAGGCGGAGTGCTGTCTGAGTCAGAATTCCCACCAGTGCTGCTGTCAGCTGAGCCACGTGGTTCTCCTGGTGCTCGGGAAGAGAGATAGGACAGATTCCGGGGACCTTGGAGCCGAGGCAGGGCCTCCAGCCCACCATCTGCCAGCTCAGCCACCAGGTAATGTCCCTTGGTTGGGGACCTGCAAACTCAGATGCCCAGAGCCCAGGCAGGTTCTGTGAGTGAGCAAAGCAAGCTGACTCACTCATGCTAAGTCGGGACTTCCAGCCTCACTCTTGGGGGACGGGGGATGGTGGGGCCTGTGGTGACATCAGGGAAGGAACCATTGCCTTATTTTCCAGGTGAGGGAACAGCGAGTGGGCGAGACGTTTGGGACGTGTAAAATTCGAACAGCTCTGCTTAGATGTCTAATAGGCCTTTCAAAGTTAATGAGCCAAGACAGAACCTTCCTCAAACATGCTCTTCTCCCAATCTTCCTATTTCAATAAGTGTTAGTTCAGTTCAAACATCTTTGAAATCACCTAGACCAGTGGTCGGCAAACTCATTAGTCAACAGAACCAAATATCAATAGTACAACGATTGAAATTTCTTTTGAGAGCCAAAATTTTTAAGCTTAAACTATATACCGTGTTTTCCCGAAAATAAGACCTACTTACATGTTTCCTTCTGAGTGAAATATAAGGCATCCCCCCGAAAATAAGGGCCCCCCTAGGCTAAACATCAGAGATTTGGTCCACTGATTCTGAAAGAAATGGAGTCACAAGAAATTCACCAGGAAATTCAGGAATTGGATTGTTATGATGATGTTCAAGAAGATGACATGATTGTCATTGAATAAATGAGTAAATTCTTAATACAGTAGGATTCACAGTTTGTCTGGTTTGTGTTGACAACCACCATACTACCTGACCGTAGACAGGTAATAAATTTCCTTTATTTTCATTTAACAATAAATGTGTACCGTATTCTTCTTCATGGAAAAATAAGACATCCCCTGAAAATAAGACCTACTGCATCTTTGGGAGCAAAAATTAATATAAGACACTGTCTTATTTTCAGGGAAACAGGATAGGTAGGGACATTGTTATTAACTTAATTAGGGTATCCCTAAGCTGGCCTTTGCTAAAGACTCAAGGGGCCAGAGAGCCACATGTGGCTCGAGAGCCTCAGTTTGCTACTGCTCTAGGCTCCTTCTCTGTCCTTATACACCACACGCAATCCGCCTGTCCTACTGGCTTCTCCTCCAAAATATAGAATAAATCCACACCATCTCCATACCCCCTGCTATGCCTAGTCAAAGTGCCTATTGCTCTCATTCAGACTGCTGTCAGGCCCTAACTGGCATTCCTGCTTTTCCCTTGACCTCAGGGCAACCAGAGGGGTATGTAAACCAAATCACCTCACCCCGTATCCCCAGCCCTGCTTCTAACCCTCCTAGGATAGCTCATCACACTTGGAATAAGTACTTAAACCTGACCATGGCCTGACAGGTCCGTACGGCCCCAGCTACCTCTCTGACCCCAGCCCACTCGGCTCCAGCCATGCCAGTCTGTCTGCTGCCACTAGAACAAATCAAGCTTGTTCTCGCCCGGGGGCCTGGGCCTTGCTGTTTGCTTTTCTTAGAACATCCTTTATCCTGACTCTCCCAGGCTGGTTCCTTCTCCTCACTCAGACCTCAGGGCACAAATTCCCTCTTCTTAGAGACCCTCCCTGAGCATCCTATGTTGGATCCCACCCAGTCATTGTCACATTGCCCATTTTCTGTTCTTCGTGGTGCTTATCACTCTCTGAAGTTCTTCCTTGTCAATACGTTTATTCGTGTATTATGTGTCTCTCCCACCAGAACCAATGCCCCATAGGATCTGGGGTCTCACCTGTCTTGTTCACTGCTGAATCCAGGACCTGGCGCAGTGTGAGGAGTTAATAAATACGAGGTGAGTGAATAAAGGAAGAACACACAGGGAGTCAGTGGCAAAGCTAAGTCTTAAACCCAGATCCATTACTCCCCTCATTTTGTATTCTCCCCTCTGTTTCATGAAGGATAAAAGGGCCATAGGCTCCTTTCAAAACGCTTATTCTCAGAGCCAACCTACCTCTTCGAGAGAGCCATTCACGCACAGTGTCAGTGACGTCAAAAGACAGCCACTCGGTGGTGCCCCGCGTGGGCAGGTTCTTGCCGCCAATGTAGCGTTGCTTGGCGATGTGCTCATCTGGACGGAGTATCTGCAGGACAGAGACAGAGGTAGGATCCCAAGGCCCGGACAGAGTCCCACAGGCTGTGTCACAGTGCAGGGCAGGTGAGGGGAGCAAGAGGAAAGCACGTTTCTGAATGCTGCTTTGAGCACTAAAGCACGTGTCAAACACAAGGCCCGCGGGCCAAATCCGTCCCGCCAGGCCTTGCAATGTGGCCCGCATCGCGCTGTCATCACTGCACTCTGCTGCGTTTCCATCACAATGACAGTTTATGACTGTTCAGTAAACCATTCGGCCCGCGATTTAGGCTGGATTTTAGATTTTGGCCCCTTCTCTGATTGAGTTCGACACCACTACTGACTAAAGTAACGCTCAGTCCTCTTAGTGGCACACAGAAGCGAAGGCTCGGAGAGGCAGGATTCCTACTCAGGTCTGCCTGGGCTTCCCACCAGGTTGGCTTCTGTTCTGGGAGGGGGCTCACCTGAAAGAGCTCGATCCTCTGCTCGTTGCGCTTGGAGCTGGGGTTGGGCACCCTCAACACACGAAATTCTGCTCGGAACAGGTTGGCTCCATTTTTCTCCACTGAAGACACGTTGAAGCGGAAAACCTTGCAGGTAATTCCTTTGGGGCAGACAGCCAACTCACCTAGGAGACAAAGCAGCGGGAGGGGAGCATCAGGAGTGAGACCACGGGAGCAATGTGATAGCAACAGACACTCGCCAAGGGGCCAAGGTCCCACCTGTGACCTTTCTGGAGGCTTGAGGCCTCAGACCTAAACATGCAGATAGGAGGAAGATCCTCGGTGGCCCTGGAATCACACACAGACCTGAGAGAGGAGCAGAGAGGCTCCTGAGCCCCCGGACATGGCACAGAAGGCAGGCCAGTCAACTGTAATCACCTTCCTCCCATTGCCTTAACATCATCTCCAGCTTGCTTTCTGGCCTGCCCTTCTTATCTTTTAGAAAATACAGATTCTCAGGAGACCTCAGCTGTCCCTCCTATAGTTTAATCATCTCATAGCCAGCGGGTTCATTCCTTCATGTATTTTTTCATTCATTTGTTTTATTACTACAGGCCCAGTACACAAAATTAGTGCTTGGGGTGTGTGTGGGGTGTGGGTAGATGTGTGTACCTCAGTCTAGCCTGCACCCACTCCAATCTGGGACCCCTCGAGGGATATCCAACTGCTCATTTAGGCCTGATTCCAGGGGAGCAGTTAGACATCGCTCTCATAATCTATGACTGCTGGCTCGCAACTGCTCGCCTGCCCATCTGCCTGATAGCCCCTAACCACTTCTGCCTGCCAGCCTGATCACTCCCTAACCACTCCCCTGCCAGTCCAATTGCCCCTAACTGCCCACCCCTGCTGACCCAGTCACCCCTAACTGCCCTCCCTTGCCAGCCTGGTCATCCCTAACTACCCTCCCCTACTGACCTGGTCACCCTTAACTGTCCTCCTGCAGGCCTAATCGCCTCCAACTGCCCTCCCCTGCCGGCCATCTTGTGGTAACCATCTTGTGTCCATGTGGGGGCAGCCATTTTTGACCACATGAGGGCGGTCACCTTGTGTGTTGGAGTGATGGTCAATTTACATATTATACCTTTATTATATAGGATTAAAAATATTTTTATTGATTTCAGAGAGGAAAGGAGATAAGAGAAAATAGTTGATTGGCTGCCTTCTGCACACTCCACATTGGGGGATTGAGCAGGAAACCAAGGCATGTGTCCTGACCAGGAATTGAACTGTGACCTCCTGGTTCATAGGTCAATGATCAACTGCTGAGCCACACTGGCCAGACACAAAAAATGATAAGACATGGCCCCTGCCTTCAAGGAGGTTAGTATACAGGGGAGATCATTAACACATGGGCCCAAATAACGGGACCAGAGGGAAAGTGTTGAGGGCTTGCAGAGAAGCCCAAGATACTGCAAAGAGATCAGAGGAGGGAGAAAGCAAAGAACACTTCATAGAAGAAGAGACATTTGAGTTGGGTCCTGCAGGAGGAGAGAGTTTGAAGGTGGAGAGGAAAGAAATTTCACGAGTAAGGTCTGCTGGAAACAAAGGCAGGATGGGGAGGAAATGCAGGTGAGTAAGAGTGACCGCAAGCAGCCGCACTGGAGCAAATGAGATCCAGTTAAGACAGTAGATTGGGAGCCACATGCAGGGAGGCTGAAATATCAGACCGAGGGGTTGGATTTTATCTCATTAACAGTAGGGAGACATGGAAAGTGTCAGAGCAGTTCAGCGACATAACCCACAGCGGGTTTCAGACCTAATGAGGCAACATTGGTCTGGCAAAGGGCCCACATCTCCTGCCTGGCAGACAAACAGGGGCTTAATGTTTCTTCAGACCAAGCTGGTCCATCCCCATGGCTCCTTTCTCTCTAGGAGTTTCTTTTCTTAACTGTCCCTGCTATACCAGCCTCCATCACCCCACGGCCTCTTAGTCCCTGTTCATGAGACTAAAAGCAGTGAATGCTCTTCCCCACCCCTGACAGCCAGATAAAAGAAAGATCTTATCTTTTCTCCTGTACACACTTGACAACCTCAAGCTCTGAGCAGCATTAACACCCAGAGAAAAACTTTCTGCACAAATGGTCACAGAACTTGAAACTCAAGCTCAGAGACCCAGATTCCACACATAATGGACATGACTGGAATGAGCTCATAATCACCCGAGGGGTGGTTTAGGAAGTCACGACAAAGCGGGAAGGATCAGAGGCCTGGAAATGAGCAAATGCGCTACTGATCTTTAGGAAAGGATGAGTGAGCGTTTCTGGAAACTGCCATCTGGTGGGCCTGACACTGGTTCTTAGGAAACTAATGGAACAGATGTTAGAAAAACAAATGTGTGAATGCCGCCTAATGAAGCCCTGATTAATATCAATAATTGGCTTTGAAAGAACAAATCCCGCCAAGTATGCCCTGAAAACCGAAAAGAGGACTCATGATGGCAATTTAAATTTTAAGTTTGCAAGATTATAACCCTCCAGACATGGAGAAGCTACTTGGACCGGCAACCCTCTTGAGTACTGACATCCTTGGTTCTGGAGGGAGCTGTCATCAACATGACTTCAGTTATAATAGCACCTCCAGGAACTATTGAAGGAGGGAGGAAAGGATATGTCAATGCAATGTGTGTGTTGCCATAAAAAGGAAAAGGGGAACAGAAAAATGGCACGTGCCAGTGAGGAGTCCAGACAACGGGTAGCCAGGAGATGGGGGAGCAAGGAGCTAAGAGAGTCTTCAAGACACCCTACTGACCATCCCTCCTTGATTTCTTCCAGCCCATCAATTAGATATCTGTTCCCTAAGAAGGACTGACTCCTCTTGTTGGGAATTTCAAGGAGGTAAGAAGGTAACTTTTTTTTTTTTTTTAATCACTGGAACCTACAGATTTCTAACAGTTAGATCAGATGTCAGGGAGTTGTCTCCCTTCAGATAAAGAAATGGATGTCCAAAGGGGTCTTAGCCAGGTCACACTGGAGCAGATTGACACTAATAAGCAGAGCTCAGGCACAATTGTTATTGATGTAAAAAGAACTTCCTGGGAGAGAAAAGGAAATGTGATCATCTTCTTGACCATTAAATTCACTGAATAATAATGATGTTTAAATCATTTGTGGAATAAGTCAGAGTGTAAATAAGTAACCAAAGTGTAATAGCACAACCTTGCATTGCACAGAACTTGTATTAACTCAGTTGACCCTCTAACAATCTTTGAGGAGAATGAGAATAAGTAAAATTTACCATTTTACAATTGAGAAAAGGGAGCATCAGAAAAGAACAATGACTTCTGCAAGGTCACTCAGCCAATAGGTGGCAGACGGGGGATTTGAACCAGGTCCTCTGATATCTTTTATTGAAGCAGACACTCTGAAGTCTCCTGAGAGGTCATCCAGTAGAGAGATGGTTTCACCAACAAAAGGGGGCAGGGTTCCACAAAATGGGTCTATGGATGCCAACCTGTGCTTCCGACAAGAGCCAATTCCCAGTCAGCTTTGTGGCCAAACTCCTGCTTCTGCAGAACACTAGTATTCCTGAGAGCTGGGCGAGAGGGCTGACCTTTACAAATTAAATCATGACCAGCTTTTTCCATTACGCACAAACTATATAGATCGATGGCTGCCATTTTCTCTTTTGAGAGAAAAACAAGAAGAAAAAAAAAACATTTATGAGAGTATTCATGGAAAAACCTGGAAACAGCTGACTGTGGTTTTGGGCCATGCCATTTGAAATGTTTGCAGACACCTGGGCTCATAGCTGTGCCTTTGCTTGTATACATCATCTCTGCTAGGAAAAGTACTGCCGGTTCCAGTGACCGGACTACATATATCAGTGTGGCCGAGCTTCTTTATCCCTGCAGTGCGTTATGATCACCTGGAGACCTTTAAAAACAGATGCTGCCTGGACCCACTCCCCGATACAGATTCTCACTACATTGAAGCGTAGGTGGGTCCAGAGCTTGCTTGCTTTCTTTTCTTTTCTTTTTTTTTTTTTTTTAAGATTTCCAGATGATTCTAATGTGTAGCCAGGGTTGAGAACCACAGTTTATAGTGCTTTGCAAAGGGTGCCATGGCTTCCAGATGTTGTGGAAGTTTGAGAAACCACAGCTTTAATGGTTTAACCTTTCAATGGATTAACCTTTAAATGTATTAGACATGTTGTTTGGCCAATGCATCATTTTTTTTAAATTTTTGAGTAAGAAGACAATAAGCATTTTAAGCTAGTGTTAAAAGTTGGAAAAGTTTACAGAAAGATGCAGATTTTCTGCTGTTCTGGGAAATGTTCTAGTCAAGCTGGACTAGAGTCCTAACTGCAAAACTCAGCCCAAACTGAGCTGTGGGTACCCCTTCTTTTTTCTTTTCTTTTCTTTTCTTTTCTTTTTTTCTTTTCTTTCTTTTCTTTCCTTTCCTTTCCTTTCCTTTTCTTTTCTTTCTATCTATCTATCTATCTATCTATCTATATATATATATTATTGTTTTTTTTTACAGAGAGGAAGAGAGAGGAATAGAGTTAGAAATATTGATGAGAGAGAAACACCGATCAGCTGTCTCCTGCACACCTCCCACTGGGGATGTGCCTGCAACCAAGGCACATGCCCTTGACCAGAATCGAACCCAGGACCTTCTTGTCCACAGGCCAACGCTCTATCCACTGAGCCAAAACAGTTTCAGCTGGGTACCCCTTCTTAATGGGTGTGTGCCCTCCAGACCCCCCACCACTACCTAGCCACCCACCTTCCCTATGCACTCTCATCTCTCCATGACCTGAGACCTGTGCAGTCTGCCATGACGCTTGGGCTGTGACTTTTCTGCTGGGTCATTGGCATTAACTGCCCAGCCTCTGTGGGCACTCCTATGTGCAGCCCCTCTTAGGGAAGGTTGTGCCCTAGCTCATGGAGCCTTCCGCTTCTGCGAGTTTACGAAGCAATAGGAAGTTTGACAATACAGAATAGCCAGAGATTCTGATTCTGTAATGGTGGGCCTGGGAATCCAGCCTCCCCACTCACCTATCCTCTGGACTGCATAAGAACAAATACTGACTTGGTTGGGGGAGAAGGGCATTGGCACTAAAATAAGGTGAGCAGACATCCCGCTTTTGGCGGGACAGTCCCGATTTTGTCCCGCGGCATTTTAAAAAAGTGCCGATTTTTGGACAAAAATGGGGACTTTTTAGAAACGCCTCAGGAGGCGGGACAAATTGTTAAAAATCGGGACTCTCCCGCCAAAAGCGGGACGTCTGCTCACCTTACACTAGAACAAATGAGTTCTCTGGATACATCTTTTCATTTTCAGAATGAACACAATCTAAGTGTAGCAGCCAAGAGAAAAGAAAGGCTAAAAAAGCCCAAGTTTTCTCAGCGACTCTGGGCTTGGCTAGCCGTTTTAGCACCGCCCTTGGATGAAAATAAGAGTCTCCCACTAGACAGAGGTAATTAGAAGGCAGGAGACAAAATGACACAACCCTGGGGATATCTTGATAACACGGGTAACCAAGGAACTGAGAAAGCCACTTCTTCCCCAACAGCGGGTCAGAGAAAATCTCAACCCACTTCCCATAGCAAAGTCCTGGAGAATTATAAAAGGGATTACAGTCTTGCCTTCACTCTCTGGCGGAGACTTATGTTGAATCATCCCAGATGGAACCATAAAAATTGTTTCAGCTCAAAAGGACTTTAGAGATTATCTCTGACTTTACAGCTGAGGAAACTGAGGCTCAGGGAGGTAACCTGACTAGCTTCAATGCGGTGCACTTGCATAGTCTGCTTGAGACTCTTCATTAGATAAAGAAAAACCCTTTGCTCTGCCGGTGTGGCTCAGTGGTTGAGTATTGACCTATGAACCAGGAGGTCAAGGTTTGATTGCGGATTGGGTCACATTCTCCAGGTTTCAGGCTCAATCCCCAATGGGGTAGGGGGGAAGGGGGCGTGCAGGAGGTAGTAAATTAATGATTCTTTCTTATCATTGATGTTTCTATCTCTCCCTTTCTCTCTAAAATCAATAAGCAATATTGATTTATATATATATATATATATATATATATATATATATATATATATATATAATTTTATTTTTTTAAACTTTCGCTGAATTTGGGGGAAGTTTGGAGCAATGTGAATCCCCTGGCCATAAAATAAGGCAGAGCAAAGAAAGAAGGCACTCAGTTCAGTGCTCTGCAATCTGCCCCCAGGGTTACTAAGAGAATAGCTCCTATGCCCTTCTGCTTGGCCCAGCATGTGATTCATTCATGCTATTAATCAAAATTCTATAGGAGCTTACAGGTTAAAGGTAGGACTTACAGATGTGTGTTCTGCACATTTGCATTAGTGCTTCACAGCGTGCCTTCCGCAGGCAGAAGGTCTAGGTGAGGGTCCCTGATCTTTTGGGGAAAATTACTTAACTGATGCAGTCCCCTCATCTCTCAGCTCTGTGCCCTTTCTCCTGCATCCCAGGAAGTGACTCCTTCCTGCTCTCAGCTCTCTGGGCATTCCTGCACCTTGCCCCAGCTCCTGCCAGCACTTCCTGCCCAGTGCCTGCTCACTGGTGAGGGAGGGGGCTGAGAGTGACAAAATGGGGACTGGAATGCGTTCTCATCCCCTCTCAGCAGAGGCTCTGGCACGGAGACCCCGTGAGTGCCCCACCACAGACCCAGCACCACCTCTGCCACCTTCTCCACTTCAGGACAGGCTCCCCTAACCTAAGCTTCTGATGATGGCTCTCTGCTCTGGCTCAGCATCTGTTGGGCGTATGCATCTGCCCACTGTCTTCTTTATAAGCAGTGTGCCTTGTGTGTCTGCCTCTCCAGGGTTGGCTCAGCACCTGACCAGCTGCAGGGCGGGCCCAGGCTGTGTCTGCTCAGCCTCTGTGTCACCTCCAACAGCTGCAGAGAGTCTGGGCCTGCTTCCTGTTTGCACCTGCAAGCCTCCTTGGCATTGCCCGTGTCCCACTGGGCCCTGCCCATCCCCACGACATCCTGTGTGGCATCTGCTCATTGTGCCAGGGTTTGCTGCCCCCTGCCTGACCACGGCTCCCTGACTATGGCTCCCTTGCCCCAGCTCCTCGGCACTGACGGGAGCCTCCTGGGAGGACACACTCCCTGACCCACGTCCCTTCTGCACCCACAGCCACACCTCCCACCCACCCACCCTTCCCAGGATACGCAGACACAAAAGGGCCACCAGCGACCATCTACACGTGAGAGCCACAGCCCCGCCTTCCCATGCCCACAGACTGAGAAGGCACCCATTTGACACATGCATTTACCTACTGTACACATCCAGGCTATCCATTGCCATAAAGCACACGTCCGTGTGGACAGAGGTGTGCGCCCTTCCCCCATGCCCGCAGCTCACGTGGGTCACGTGTGTGGCGGAGACTGAAGGATCCAGACAGCAAGACGATGCCTCTTGCCTGGGCCTCAGAAGCGTGACATACATTCATGTGTAGCTCTCCTTCCCCCAAAACTGGAAACACTGAACCGGACACGTGTCGCAGTGAGTTGTGAAAAGCAGGGAGAAGACGGAATCTCCCCAAGTCTTGGAACTCACTGTAGGGCTTGAGAGAGAGTGCGGCCCTGCCCCTTTCTGACACCTAGATGCCTACAGTCACCGGTCCGTGCTCATGTGCGACCGAGCACATATGTTAACGGGACGACACCATGCAATTCCGAGTTAAAATCAGCCAAGGATGGGATGTGAGTTCGGCAAGCCGCTCAGCTCCAGGACTGCCGGGCTCCCAGAAGTGCCAGGGTCTTAGCAGAACGGCTCTGTCTCCCTCCCCACCCACCTCTCCAACCCTGACTGTGCATCCTGCCTCCTGCCCTTGGTGTGGGTGGACCAGGCGACCCTGCTGTGTGGCCACCACCGGGCCCCCCTTGGTGGGACTCCCTACTCCCATTCAGACCCTCTAGAGCAGACACCCCCATGAAAACTCAAACTTACTGTGTTCCGCCAGCCCCTGGATCATGTCGAATTTATGGATTTCTTTGGCATAGTACTCCCACTCGGTGTTTTCCTGAGTGCAGCCGTCCTCCCTCTCCTCCAGCAGATCCCTGGTGCTGTTGTACAGGGCCAGGATCTGGTAGGGGACGTGGGTCATCACCGATGGCTCAGGGGGACTCGTGAGCCTGAGCTTGCTCAAGATCTGTCCCCTAATGGCTTCCACGCGCTTCTTCTTGATTTGGCTGAAGTCCAAGGTGGTGCAAGTGGACAGAGAAAGGCTGACCGTGGCAAAGTTCAGCAGGGCCAGGACCACCAGAGCCCTTTGCAAGGGCATCTTCATGGGCGAGCCGGGGAGAGAGGCCGGGAGCGGGGGGGGGGGGGGGGGGGGGGGGGGGGCTGTGAGGCCTGGCGAGGAGGAGACCCCAGCAGGCGTGCAGGAGGAGGGAGGAAAACCAGGCAGCCTCCCTAGATCCAGAAGACTGAGGCTTGGCAAGAAGGTGCATGAACTCACTGCACATATGCACACACCCTTCTTTTTCTATTTCTCCCTGCCGAAATTTTATACCTCCCTGCGATGACGTCTCTGATGCAGGAACCAATGGTCCCCCTCAGGTCTGCCTAGCCCAGGACCTTTGGACACATTTCGCTAAAGTGTTTCATTCCCAGGCATGAGTATGGAAGGGCTGGATAACATTTTACTAAAGCTACTCAGTTCATCTTTTTTATCTTAAAAAATAAAATTTATAAAGGACAAAGATAATGCTAGCGATGTCTATCTAGAGGGCAACCTTTTCCTAAGAACATCTAATCTCATTCCTTTGGACCTTGCCACAGGAAATGACATTTTCCTTATGTTGCTTCATATGTGGTGTCTACAGATGGAATCAGTTGCCAGACTTCGTTTAGTACAAAGTCCTATGTATTTTGTCCATTATAGTATTTCTCTGTGAGTATTATTTCACATTTAAAGCTTGTATAATGCATGCATAGTGGAAGCGGTGTTGATAGTACTGAAGAACCAGTAACAAAATGTGTGATACAAAAGGAGAACTCCTAATGGGTGATAAAGGCTTCTAATTAGGTAAAAAAGTTTTAAGAATTTTTAAAAGTCTACTTGAAGGAAGCATACATTCACATTCTAACTACCGATTTGTGTTAGTGTTTGTAATGTTTAGATAAAAATTTTTAGGTCTTCATTTATTTGTAGGCTTACCCTCTGAGCAAAAATATGCTTGTGCTCATCTTGTATTCGAGTGGTTTTTTCACTTTGAAAGTACAAGTGCTCTCAGATGTCCATCTTGTGACAATCTTCGGACCAACGGGATGGTTCTGTGCCAGAATTCTACACAGAGCCCCCAAGGCCATGCATGGTATGGCTCTTGGTGTCCTAGCCTCCTTTCTCCACTCTGTTTGCTCTCTATGCCTTAGCCATACTGACTTCTTCCCTTTCCTCAAATGTGCAAACCTTCTGGAGGGGTGCAGTGTCTGGGAGAGGGCTCAGGTAGAGTCAGGCTTCCCGTTCATTCTGTTCTGTGCAACTCTTCTACTACTTGCCATCCAGTAGGAGACATTTGTTAAACATTTGATGAATTTAACAAGGAAGGAAGCAAAGACTGAGAAACCAGATGCTTTTCTGATTCACTCATATGGACCAATGCGAAGCACCCGGATGCCCCAATTCCTTGCTGAGAATACTTTCAGCAGAGCACCTGGACTCTGCTTTGGGATATTCCCCTTCTCTGAATCTAGACTTGCACTGGCATTATTAGAAAGTTTTTTCCTGGCATGAGAGGAGAATCCAAGATGGCTGCACAAGTAAATACCTAACCACAGCTGCACGCAAAAATTTCAATAAAATACAACTAAAATATAAAATGTACATTACCCAGAACTATAGTAAAGTCGACTGACTAGAAATTCTACAACGAGAAGCAAGGAGAAAACCAGAAGGAAGAGCAGAGGAGCTGTAAAAGCCTAAGGTACAGAGACACTGGGCACGCGCTGAGAGGACAGAGCCGGAGAGGAGGAGTGGCTGAGTGCCTGGCTGGCGTTCCCTAGCGGAAAGGAGATAAAAGCTCCGACTGTGCTGAACCACAGACCCAACAGCGCTGAACCCCAGTTCTAGGCCAGACCCTGGGGACACAGGCTCAAACAGAGGGAGTGGAGGCTGTGAGGGGGAATCCCAGGGGAGCAGCCAAAGGCAGAGTCCCGGAGATGCACACATTGCGCACAAGAGGACGGACTGTTGACTCTGCTGCTAGATTGCCCTGGCAGGAAGGAGACAAAGGCTCTGGACTGTGCTGGGCCCCAGTTCCGACTGCTTTGAACCCTAGTTCTAGGCCAGACCCTGGGGACCCAAGCTCATCCAGAGGGAGCTGGGCTGTAAGGCGCAATTCGGGTGGCGCGGCGAAAGGAGGTTCCGGAGGTGCACACGTTGCGCACAGAGAAGGGACGGTTGGCTGTGCCACGGGATTGCCCTAGTGGGAAGGAGACAAAAGCTCCAGACTGCTCTGACAGCCACCTCCAACTCCACTTCCAACTGAACTGAACCCAGTTCCGGGCTTATTGGGGGAGAGCCTAGACTGGTAGCAGGGAAAAACTGAGGGCACCTTTCTCTCAGAGGTGCTTGCAGTGACTACTGAAGGACCCTGGGGAATAATGAGACTAAGGAGCCGCATAGGGCCGGGCTGATGGAAGCCAAGGCTGTAGGCTCCACCCTGATACCCCGCCCCATCCAAGCAGAACACAGAGACTTTTAAGGCAACCAACTCAGGGAAGCTCCGAAAATGCCGAGACAAGAAGATAGATCACAAACGAAAGAAATGGAGGACAAAAAGTGACTGGATATAGATTTCAAATCTACACTTATGAAGTTTTTCAAGAATTTCCTAGAAAAGGTCGATAAGACCTATGAGGATGTGAAAAGAGATCAACTAGAATTAATAAGGAATCAATAAGAAATAATAAGGGATCAACAAGAAATAATAAGGGATCAAAAGAAATAAAGAATACATTGTCTGAAATAAAAAATATTATACAGAGTCCTAAAAACAGAATGGAAGATTGCAAGAATCAAGTCAAAGGTTTGGAACATAAAGAGCCAGAAGGCACTCCTCCACAGAAGCAAGAAGGCAAGAGAATCCAGAAAGTTGAAGATAATGTAAGAAACCTCTGGGACAACTTCAAGCGAACCAACATCAGAATTATGGGGGTTCCAGAAGATGAGAGAGAGCAAGATATTGAAAACCCATTGAAAGAAATAGTGACAGAAAACTTCCCCCACCTGGTGAAAGAATTAGACTTACATGTCCAGGAAGCGCACAGAACTCCAAACAAAAGGAATCCAAAGAAGACTACACAAAGACAAATCATAATTAAAATTCCAAAGAGCAAAAGACAAAGAGAGAATATTAAAAGCAGCAAGAGCAAGGCAGGTAGTTACCTATAAAGGAGCATCCATACGATTGTCAGCTGATTTCTCAACAGAAACCATGCAGGCCAGACAGAAATGGCAAAAATATTCAAGGTGATGAATAGTAAGAACCTACAGCCAAAAATAATCTACCCAGCAAAGCTATCACTCAGAATCGAAGGCCAGATAAAGAGCTTCACTAATAAAAAAAAGCTAAAGGAGTTCATCACCGCCAAACCAGAATTATATGAATTGCTGAAGGGGGTTCTTTCGGAAGAGAAAGTAAATAAAGATAAAAATTATGCACAACAAATATGTAACTATCAACAAGTGAATCTAAAAACCAAGGAAATTAAAAAAATACAACTGATGAACAATATTAACTGTAGAATATAATAGAATCAGAGGTATGGAAGAGGAGTGAACTGATGATTCTTGGGGAAAAGGGGAGAGGGGATGTGGGAAGAGACTGCACATAAACTGTGCACCTATGGATGAGAACAATGGGGGGTGGGGAAAGGGCAGAGGGTGGGGTGGGAACCTGGTGGAGGAGAGCAATGGAGCGGGGTGGGAAAGAGGAACATTTGTAATAATATGAACAATAAAGATTTATTTTTTTTTAAAGTTTTTTTCTGAAAAAGTAATTTAACAGGCGAAACTGGTTTGGTTCTGGATATAGCATCGGCCTGCAGACTGAAAGGTCCTAGGTTTCATTCCGGTCAAGGGCATATACCTTGGTTGAGGGCACATCCCCAGTAGGTGGTGCGCAAGAAGCAGCTGATCAATGATTCTCTCTCATCTAAGTTTCTAACTCTCTATCCCTCTCTCTTCCTCTCTGTTAAAAATAAATAAAATATACTAAAAAAAACAAAAAACACCTTCATGAATTTGAAAATATGGTTGTCACCACAGTGAATAAATGTTCTTCAGCACCCATACTGATCAAGCCTCTGGCAAGCACTCTTCACACGTAAGCTCATGTATTGAGATGAGGTGGTGAAAATAGAAGCCTTGGGTGGCCCATTTCTGCCTCCTCCTCTCTTCCATCGGAGCCTCTCCCTCAGATTGTCAGGCCCCCGGACATGGACACCCGGTGGAAGGCAATGCCAGTATGTTGTGGAGCCAGTGCCACGGGCCTGCCCTCTTGTTGCACCTCTGGTTCCTTGTCCTCTGAAGCAGCAGCAAGTCTCCTGGGCCCTCTGGGGACCTGCCGCACCCCACATACTCCTTTTGGCTTCCATGGACTCAGAATTCTCTTTGTTCCCTTTGTTTGGGTCAGAGGCGGAGGTGAGTGAACAGCACTTCAGTTTCCCCTTGGGTTCGCAGAGATGAAACATCTCGGATTGGTTCTTTGAAAATACAGCGGTCCTCGACCTCTGCAGTTGTTTTGTTCTTTGTCAGGCCATGCAGGAACCCTTGGTCCCCCTCAGGTCTGCCTAGCCCAGCACCTTTGGACACATTTCGCTAAAGTGTTTCATTCCCAGGCATGAGTATGGAAGGGCTGGATAACATTTTACTAAAGCTACTCAGTTCATCTTTTTTATCTTAAAAAAATAAAATTTATAAAGGACAAAAATAATGCTAGTGATGTCTATCTATCATAGAGGGCAACCTTTTCCTAAGAACATCTAATCTCATTCCTTTGGACCTTGCCACAGGAAATGACATTTTCCTTATGTTGCTTCATATGTGGTGTCTACAGATGGAATCGGTTGCCAGACTTCGTTTAGTACAAAGTCCTATGTATTTTGTCCATTATAGTATTTCTCTGTGAGTATTATTTCACATTTAAAGCTTGCATAATGCATGCATAGTGGAAGCGGTGTTGATAGTACTGAAGAACCAGTAACAAAATGTGTGATACAAAAGGAGAACTCCTAATGGGTGATAAAGGCTTCTAATTAGGTAAAATGTTTTAAGAATTTTTAAAAGTCTACTTGAAGGAAGCATAC